GCTTTTATCCCCTATTCTTACTCATAGTAACCCTGTAAGACAGAGTAGAGCTGTCCCAGAGGGTTACTAAGGCTATACGAAAGCAGAATGCGTCATCTTTCTTCAGTAGAATGGCTGGTGGGTTTGCTTTAACCATTGCCCCACCAGAGCTCCCAAGAGACTGAAAGTGCCTGAGAAATTAGTTTTTCAAGCTTTTAGAAGCCACTGCAGGTTTCTTGTGAGTTAAATCTTTGTCAGTGTCTTTGTTTCTATAAAACAGAGTGATAGGTTCTGGAAGAGACTGTTATCTCAATTAATACTAAAATATAACTTAAGTTGTAAAGAATAATTATTCATTGAGTAAATTTTTACAGTTATTTTAACTGAAGACTTTTCTAGGCAACCTGAGCAATCTGTTACACGACAAACCTAATTTGTTGCAGTTCTGCACATGAGATATTTGAGGGCCTTCTGTGGGTTACGTGAATTTTGCATGTTATTTGCTATTGTTTCTTCCTTTAGATTATTTTTGAAATGAAATGTCACCTGATCATAAATTAGATTTTGTTGTAGTTTTAGAAATTATCCCAGCTTTGTAAAAATGTCGTAATTGTGTTGCTTTTTCTTTATGTAATTGTGTTTTCTATGTATAGCCTAGTGCCTAAGGCACTTGACTGCTAACCAGAAGGCTGGAGGTTCAAACCCACCAGCCACTCCTCAGAAGGAAGGTTGGTCAATCTACTTCCATAGAGATACCGCCTCGGAAATCCAAGGACGGGTCGCTCTGAGTCAGGACCGACTCAATGGCACATAACAACAACAACAACAACATATGTAGTACAGGAGTTCTGGTGGCGTAGTGCCTAAGTCATTTGACTGCTAACCAGAAGGCTAGCGGTTCAAATCTACTAGCCTCTCCCTGGAAGGAAGGTTGGGCAATCTACTTCCGTAGTGATATCACCTCAGAAACCCAAGGAGGAGTTGCTATTAGTTGGGTTTGAAGGAGATCTGGTAGCATAGTGTCTAACACATTTGCCTGCTAACCAGAAGGTTGGTGGCTCAAACCCCCCAGCCACTCCACAGAAAGAAGACTGGGCAATCTACTTCCATAAAGATTTACTGCCTCTAAAACCCAAAGAGGGTCGCTGTGAGTGAGAATCGACTCACTCGCAATGAGTTTGGTTTCTTGGTTTATGTATAGTACAAAAATAATTTTTCTGAGGCTTTTTTAAAACCACATACGTTGAACAATGTCCCCCATATACATGGTGATTTTGTATGTTCATACTGTGTGATCCTCATCATGTTCTCAAAGCATATATTCCCTTGTTTGTTGTTCAAAGCAGATGGACTCTTGTTTGTTCTTGGTGGAACAGTATAAAGCAGATGAAAGGTTTTGGAATCAGATTGATCTAGGTTCGGATTCTGCTCTGCCATGTAGCTGTTGATTTTGAGCAACTCCATTACACTCTTGAGCTATAGTTTACTCAGTTGGAAAATAGGATGAGTACCTATTTTATAGGAGCTCTAGTAGTACAGTGCCTAAGGCACTTAACTGCTAACCAGGAGGCTGGCAATTCACACCCACCAGCCATTCCTCGGAAGGAAGGTTGGGCAATCTACTTCTGTAGTGATACTGCCTTGGAAACCCAAGGACAGGTCGCTGTGAGTCAGGTCTGACTCGATGGCACATAACAACAACATGAAAGAAATTTAATTACAAATGAAAAGAGTAGCTTTGTAAATCTGGATTTCTCTGAACTTTGGGTACTAGCAAAGTTATCACTGCTTCACTAAATGAATTGTGCTCAAGTTAGTTTCTTTTCACTCAGCCTTTATTTTTAGATGAGATTGGGTGCATTCAGGATGGTGTGGCATAGAGTAGTCTTTTAGATATGATAAATAATAATAATAATAATAAACCAAACTCATCGAGTCAGGTCCTACTTAGAGCAACCTCTCCTTGGGTTTCCAAGGCAGTATCACTACAGAAGTAGATTGCCCAGCCTTCCTTCTGAGAACTGGACGGTGGATTTGAACTGCCAGCCTTCTGGTTAGCAGTCATATGCCTTAGACACTACCATCAGCTATAATGTATCTTGTCTTGATCAACCAGCTTAATGACAAATGCTGTACACTAGTAAATCTAGTTATTGTTGTTTTGGAAGTGATTACTGATTTATGTGGCTTCTCAATTTTCTGCTTTTTCTGGAGTAAATTTGATGTTTAACTTAATTCTGACCTATTGATTTTTGGGTTAAGGAAGATAATTAGTATTATAATAAAGTATCCAGAGAATGATCTACCTATAATCACTGCCACAGGATTATCTGGCACTTGTTTTATAGTCAGAAGGGACCGTTCCCTGGAGAAGGATGTCATGTTTGGTAGGGTGGAGGGAGGGTCGACAAAAGAGGGGGAGGCCTTCAATGAGATGGATTGATGCGGTGGCTGTGATGATGGGCTCAAGTATAGCAGGGATCATGGAGCTGGCGCGGGATTGGGCAGTGTTTCGTTCTGCTGTGCATGGGGTCGCTATGAGTAGGAAATGACTCAACAGCATCTAACAACAGCAACAGTTTTAAAGTAGAATTTTATTATGTATTTTGAAAATTAGTTAAGTTCATTTAGTTTTAAATAATACTTTGTATACATGACATTTTGTGAAAGAATGAATATTGTTTTTCATTCTTAAAGTTTTGAGCCTTCTATGTACTTTTTCTCTTTGTAAAATGGCATACTGGTTTTTTGCTAATGGTATTGTACAAAGAATATTGATCTAAAAGCTCAGAGATCTGGATTCTAATTCCACTTGTGCTCTTGTGCTTAGATTAGTCGTTTTTCTAATTTACAAAAAAAAATGTTTAGATTAAATGCCCTTTCAGACTGTATGACTCTCTTCAGTGTTTCTTAAAATTAACATTGAACTTTAATGTCCCTGTATTATGAATTTATTTTCATATTGCCTATGTCTGGTGCAGTGGTTAAGGTATTCAGCTGCTAACCAAAATGTCAGTGCTTTGAACCCACCAACCACTCCACAGGTGACAGATGAGGTATTCTATGTTGATGAAGATTTATAGCCTTAGAAACTCTATGAGACAGTTCTACTATGTTGTATAAGATTTCTACAACTTAGAATTGACTCAATGGTGGTGGGTTTAGTTTTTGTTGTCTATGATCAGATTAACTCATTGAGTGACTAGACCTAGTGTCCAGTGGTTATGCCCAGAGTTGTGTGGTCCCAGCTGATAGAATAGTAGTCACTATCTAATTTTACTTCTAGAAAGAGAGTAGCCAGAGAGTGTGGCAGGTAGATAAGAGACTTTTTGCTTCTGGACAGATTAACTACCTGCCTGCAGAAGCCGAACTTGAGTGGATGTTGCTAAAGCAGGTTGATAAAGTGCACATTGGAAATGAGGTAGTATTTTGGGCTACTTAAACTCTCTGCTCAATTAGGGTTATAGATGAACCAATAAAACCAGAAACCAAACCCACTGCCATTGAGTCTGTTCTAACTTTTAGCAATCCTGTAGGACAGAGTAGAACTATGCCATAGGGTCTTCAAGGCTGTAATCTTTACAGAAGCAGCTATCTCATTGCCTCATCTTTCTCCTGCAGAGTAATTAGTGTATTTGAACTGCCGACCTTTTGGCTAGCAGCTGAATGCTTTCAGCCACTATGCCATCAGAGCTCCTTGAACCAATAAAGGGAGCTAAGTTATCAGCATTTAAAAATGTACTGTTTACTTATAATAACACTATAAATGTTTACTAAGCAAGAGGAAGACAGTGTTCTCTTACTTTGATATACTCTCTTTTTTTTTTTTTTTTTTGTAAACCAAGTATTAAAGTGCCATAAAATATACTATTATTTTGGGCTAAGAAGTCTAGAGACTTAAATGTGTGTGATAGGAAGGTCAGGCTAGGGTTGAGAAAATGATCAGGAAGTGAGTAGAAGGAAAAAATAAAGTAGAAATCTGAATAGCAGCTACTTATCCCAAATTATTATGATATCTTTTAGACATTGTGTCCCCAGTTCATTCTAAAATTTAATAGATCACATTCTTACCTTTCTTGTCTACACAAAGTATGACCAAACATAGGGAAAAATTCTCTCAATTGCTCTGTGAATGTAATTCAGATCTTCCTATCATTTCTTTCTGTAATCTGTTGACTCATTTTAACAGTTCATAATTCACAGAAAATGACTTTAAGTTTTAAAAAGATCATATTTTTTTACTTGGTTCTGTTTCTGTATAGTCATGGTCAAAGAGACACAGCACAAATTCTTCTGTTACGAGGAGCCAAATACCTGCCAGATAAAAATGGAGTAACCCCTCTGGATTTATGTGTACAGGTATGTTTTTAATGAATTTTCTTAGCCCCCTAACTTAATAATAGAAACTGACACTGGTAAAGTCACTTTTTTCTTAAATGAGAGGCTGGTTGTAAAGATTTCTATCATGCGAAGAACGTGATCTTTAAAAAGAAGTTTGTTTTTAAACTTAGATCATTTTAAATCTTGTTTTTAGGGTGGATATGGAGAAACCTGTGAGGTATTAATTCAGTATCACCCTAGGCTTTTCCAGACAATTATTCAAATGACACAGAATGAAGATCTTCGAGAAAACATGGTAATGTAATGCACTAGTAGCTTGTCGATAAATGAGCTTTATCATGCTTAACATATATATATTTTATTTATTAAACATAAACTTCAGTAACTTGAATTTGCTTATTTGCATTACAAGATAAGTATAAACTATGCAGGAATTAGTAAACTTTGTGTCAATTTTTGGTCCTATGAATCTTCTGCCCTCTGACCCTTTGGTGTCTTAAGATAACTGAAATATTTTACTAGGTAGAGGAAAAGAATCTAAGAAGGGATATCATGTGATGATTAATAACTACCAGTTTATTGAGCTCTGTATTTTTAATAGTTCATTTTAAACCACTTCAAAAAATGACAGAGTTAAAACTATTAAATTTTAGAAGTTTGGAAATTTCTATCAGTGTTTGGGTGATTTCTGTTACCTATTTATGTTTGTTATTGGTTTTTACTGAGTGATTTTAAACAAAGATTTTATATCTTCTTATCTCTATATGAGCTTTTGAATACTTATCAAATTAATAGGTGTTCTGGTGGTATAGTGCCTAAGGTACTTGACTGCTAACCAGAAGGCTGGTGGTTCAA